GATTCCCGTAAGGCTAATAGGGGGTGGTTTGATAAATTTAAGAAAAGGTGTTTGTTTATAGATTAAACTAGAGGCCCGATGCACGAAATTCGTGCAGGAGTAGGCCTTCCTTCCCCTGGCTGCTGGCACCAGCTTCCCTCCAGCACCCAGGACCCAGGCTTCCCTCTGGCTGTCGGCACCCAGGACCTGGGCTTCCCTTGCAGAGGGAAGCCCCACCCACCTGCCAAAGCCCACCTGTCAGTGGCCTGGGCCTCCCTCTGCGGGGCAATCATGGAGCCCCCAATTGATCGTCCTGCCAGCTGGTAGCCTGAGCCTCCTTCTGCAGGGTGATCATGGGACAGTGACCGGGCCCCGACCAATCGCATCACACTCGCCTTGGCTGGCCTGGCGCCAGAGGGTGTCGTAGCCTGGTCCCGGATGGTCACCCGGATGGTCGTTCCGCTGTTTGGCCATTTGGTTGATTTGCATATTACACTTTTATTATATAGGATAGTACAGTAGACATGTACTGAATATAAGGTATGTTAAAACGGAATCATTTAGGGGCCTGGAACAGATTATTTAAATTTACATTATTTTTAATGGGGGGAAATGAATCCGTGTTCAAACAAATCACTTCTCAAAATGCTTTCTGGCCCTAGCCAGTTTGGCTCAGTGGATAGAGTGTCAGCCTGCAGACTGAATGGTCCTGGGTTCAATTCCAGTCAAGGGCACATACTCAGGTTGCGGGTTCGATCCCCAGTAGTGGGCGTGCAGGAGGCAGCCGATCAGTGATTCTCTCTCATTGATGTTTCTATCTCTCCCTCTCCCTTCCTCTCTGAAATCAATAAAAATAATATTAAAAAACAAGCTTTCTGGAATGAATTAAGTCGACAACTGAGATTCCACTGGATATTGGGTAGAAGGCATTACAGTAAATTAGATGGAAGGTGCCACTTCTGAACGTTCATCCGCAAATGTTCTAGGGCCTGTGACTTCTGTAATCTGGGGGTACCGCATTCTCAGGACCTCCACAACTGTTTCCTGTAGCCGAGGTCATTGACAGATTTTGTTATTTCCCCCTGCCTCTCTGGCATGTTCACCTCAAGGCTATTGCTCTACAGGCAAGAAAACAAAGCTAGAAAGAAGGATGATCCTGTAGACAGCATTCCTGTTGATTTTGATGGCAATAGTCTTCATTGCTTGTCAATATTTGCTGCCACTGAGGCCAGGCTGCCCCTCTCAGGTCTTGAGGAGAGAGATGGCAGAGTCCATATAAGCTTGCCAACCTAATTTTCTAAGAAAAGAGGAATAGCTAGGTCTTTAGTGGGAATCACTATTTTCTAAAATATATTTTTACTAGAGGCCTGGTGCACAACATTCGTGCACTGGCGGGGGGGGGCGGGGTCCCTCAGCCTGGCCTGTGCCCTTTCAGTCCCGGAGCCCTCAGGGGATGTCCCACTGCCGGCTACGGGGAGCAGCCTAAGCTGCAGTCGGACATCCTTAGCACTGCCGCAGAGGCAGGCCACTGCACTTGCCAGTCATCAGCCTGGCTTGTGAGAGCACACTGACCACCAGGGGGCAGCTCCTGCATTGAGCATCTGCCCCCTGGTGGTTAGTGTGAGTCATAGCAACCCGTCCTTACTCTGGTCGATTTGCATATACCCTTTTATTGTATAGAGTAGGATTGATTTAAAAGAGGAAGGGAGAGATAGAAACATCAATGATGAGGCATGTGGGGGGCATGTAGGAGGCAGCCAGTCAATGATTCTCTCTCATCATTGATGTTTCAATCTCTCCCTCTCTCTTCCTCTCTCAAATCAATAAAAATATATTTAAAAGAAAAAGGAAAGTGCCTCTTCTGAATGTTTTCCACAAATGATCAAAGGTCTTGTGTGATCTTCGCGTACGGATGTTCTCAGGACCTCCATCACTATATCCTGTGACTGAAGTAATTGGCAGAGGAAATTACATAATGGCTTTTCGGATTCCCCTGGCCTCTCTAGGGTGTTCACCTCAAGGTTTGCTCAACAGGCAAGACCTCAAGGCTAGAGGAAGGATAATGCTGTAATCAGTCCCAGGATGTGTCTTTTCTAACCAGTCAGCTTTCCTGTTGATTCCGATGGCCATAGTCTTCACTACTTGACAACATTTTGCTGACACTGAGGCAAGGCTGGTCCTCCCAGGAAATGAGAACTGACATGCAACAAAGTGCAGTTATTTTTTTAATCCTCATCCGAAGATATTCCTCCATTGATTTTTAGAGATAGGATGAGGGACAGTGAGGGTTGGAGAGAAACATCAATGTGAGAGAAACACATCAATTGGTTGCCTCCTGCCTGCACCTCGACTAGGGCTGGGGATCGAATCTGCAACTGAGGTACATGCCTGTGACCTGGAGTGGAACCCGTGACCTTTCTGTCCATGAGCCGACACTAACCACTAAGCCAAGCCGGCCAGTGCGAAGGTGTGTATTCAAACAAATATTGGTTTCCTTCATGCTACACAGTTATTTTGAGATTCAACACAAATGCTTATGTGAATAGTTTTTAAAAATTTTTTTATTGCTGAGTAGTAGTATGTTCTATGGATAACCACTGTATCTATTGATCTGTCTGAGATTTCGGTTTCCAGGTTTGGGGTATTATAAATAAATCTTGGAATATTTGTGTTCAGTTCTTTATATAGATACATGTTGTGTAGGTGCATGTTTTACATCTTAGGTTGCCTCCTGCCTGCACCTCGACTAGGGCTGGGGATCGAATCTGCAACTGAGGTACATGCCTGTGACCTGGAGTGGAACCCGTGACCTTTCTGTCCATGGGCCGACACTAACCACTGAGCCAAGCCGGCCAGTGCGAAGGTGTGTACTCTAACAAATATTGGTTTCCTTCATGCTACACAGTTATTTTGAGATTCAACACAAATGCTTATGTGAATAGTTTAAAAAATTTTTTTTATTGCTGAGTAGTAGTATGTTCTATGGATAATCACTGTATCTATTGATCTGTCTGAGATTTCGGTTGTTTCCAGGTTTGGGGTATTATAAATAAATCTTGGAATATTTGTGTTCAGTTCTTTATATAGATACATGTTGTGTAGGTGCATGTTTTACATCTTAAGATATGCGGAAATGTGACCCAAAATGGTCATTGCTTTTGCCTTCACACCCACTGACAGCATATAAAAATTCCAGGTTTAGCGCTGGCCGGTTTGGCTCAGTGGATAGAGTGTCGGCCTGTGGACTGAAAGGTCTCGGGTTTGATTCCGGTCAAGGGCACATGCACTGGGTGTGAGCTCGGTCCCCAGTGGGGGGCGTGCAGGAGGCAGCCGATCCATGATTCTCTCTCATCATTGATGTTTCTATCTCTCTCTCCCTCTCCATTCCTCTCTGAAATCAATAAAAAAATATTTTAAAAAAATTCCAGTTTTTCTATAATGCTGCCAACACTTGCAGTGGTTGACTTTTTAAAATACTAGCCCCATAAGTGAGTATAGTGTGAATTTGCTTTTGTTCTAATTCCATGGACCTAAGAATTGTTGATGGTGAGCATTTCTTCATACATTGATTTACACTGTCTTTATCTCCTTCGGTAAAATGTCTGCTCAGAATGTTGTACCAATTTTTGAATGAATTTATTATTTTAACTGGTAGGACTGCACAGTCTAAGGCACATGTTGGAATTTCCACTCATTTTTCATTGATTCAAGTGACTCATTTGCCATATGGACCCTAGGTTTTGAATATTGGAAGGAAAATTGTTTTCTCAGTTTTTATCCTATGTACAATTTAAACCAACTTGTACCATATACTTACATATTTTTATTTTAAAATAAAATATTTTTAATATTTTATTTTATTGATTTCAGAGAGGAAGGGAAAGAAACATCAGTGATGACAGAGAATCATTGATTGGCTGCCTTCTGCATGCCCCCTACTGGGGATTGAGCCTGAAACCTGGGCATGTGCCCTTGACCCTAATCCAGTGGTCGGCAAACTCATTAGTCAACAGAGCCAAATATCAACAGTACAACGATTGAAATTTCTTTTGAGAGCCAAATTTTTTAAACTATATAGGTAGGTACATTGTTATTAACTTAATTAGGGTACTCCTAAGGCTTAGGAAGAGCCACACTCAAGGGGCCAAAGAGCCGCATGTGGCTCGTGAGCCGCAGTTTGCCGACCACCGGACCAGGAGGTCACTGTTGGATTCCTGGTCAGGGCACATGCCCCAATAGGGGGCATGCAGGAGGCAGCCGATAGATAATTTTCATTGCTGATGTTTCTATCTCTCTCTCCCTCTCTCTTCCTCTC